TGATGGGGGGGGCTGGGTTGCCTCGCCCCCTCCCCCCTGGAAATTCTTCACGCCCCCCCAGTTTGGGAACCCATGGTCTAGATCATCCTTGATAGATGTCTGTCTAACCTGCTCTTGAATATCTCATGTGATGGAGTTTCCACAGCCTCCCTAGGCAATTTATTCCAGTGTTTAACCACCCTGACAGGAAGTTTTTCCTAATGTCCAACCTAAACCTCCCTTGCTGCAGTTTAAGCCCATTGCTTCTTGTCCTGTCCTCTGAGGTTAAGAACACTTTTCCCTCCTCCTCCCTGTGACATCCATCACTGGTGATCTAAGTTGCAACTCTGGAAAGAAATGCAATGGAAAAGGCTGTTTTACTCTAATATACCCTTTCTATAGTTTCAGACATTAATTATTCAATATTGTTCATCCGTGGTTTCATTTTTAACAGTCATAAGAAATGAAGTTGGCTTGAACATTTTTTGAGGCGGCTGTCTTTTAGCAGACTCTTTGTTAAAAGTCCAATGGAGTTCCTGAAAAGCTTTTTGAAGAAAATGGTTAAAAGCAGTGTGCAGCCCAGAGTCATGTTTGCTGTTTTTGAAACAATGTCACACTGTTTACTCCTATTTAGCCCTTGGTCCTTTATGACCCCTAGATCCCTTTTTGCCGTACTCCTTCCTAGACAGTCGCTTCCCATTCTGTTTGTGTGAAACTGATTGTTCCTTTCTAAGTGGAGCTCTTTGCATTTGCCCTTATTAAACTTCGTCCTGTTTACCTGAGACCATTTCTCCAGTTTTGTCCAGATCATTTTGAATTACGACTCTGTCCTCCAAAGTACTTGCGACCCCTCCCAGCTTTGGATCCTCTGCACTGCGGCTGTGGAGCAGCAAACTCTTTTTCTAGCTGCAATATTCTGTAAAAGGTTTTAAGAGGAAAGTCAAAGGGAACTTAGTTATGTCTACACAGTGAAAGGCTGGTGTTTCTCCTCTTCCTCAGGCGTCCTTTTCAATTAGACGCCCTTCTCGGTCGCTCTCATCTTGCCTTCCGTTTTCTCGCTCTTGCCGTCTGTCCAACTCTCAGCTGTCAGCCAGCTCTGTTAGCCTGTCAGAATCATGACAATGCACTTTGCTGTCCTTGCGGCCGTACCTGTGTGGCGCTACAGTGCTGCCCATCAAACATGACCCTGAGCAAATGGGCAAGACGGGCTTACAAAGCTGCTTTCATATCTAGCTCCTTGACATGGTGTTTGTAGCTGTGGCGTTCTGCTCCATTCCCTCGTCTGTTCTTAGAGCAGAGCTTTTAGAAAACAAACCTGGATGCAAACATTGCCAGTCATGGAGAACCTACCACGAGCCCTGGTCAGTTGTTCCAGTAGTTAATTACTGTGAAAATGTATTCCTTATTTCTGGTCTGAATTTGTCTTGCTTCAGCTTACAACCACTGCATCGAGTTCTACTTTCTTCTGCCAGGTAGAAGAACCAGTTATCAAATACGTTCCCTGTATAGGCACTTACAATATAATCAAGCGATCCCTTAATTGTCTCTTTTTTAAGCAAAATAGATTGACCGGCTTGGTTCTGTTGCTGGAAGGCAGGATTTCTAACCCTTTAATCCTTCTCAAAACTCTTCTGTGAACCCTCTTCAGCTTCTCAACCTCCTTTTTCAACTGGGGATACCAGAACAGGAAACACTGTTCCACCCATGCCGAATCGAAAGGTAAAATAACCTTTCTGCTCCGACTCCCAGGGTCACATTAGCTCCTTTGGCCGCAGTGTCACCCTGGGAGCTTGTGGTCAGCTGACTGTCCACCATGACCCCCAAATCTGAGTCCCTGCTTCCCAGCATAGAGCTCCTATCCCAGAAGCATGGCCTGCATACCTTGCTCCTTGATGTAAATATTTACATTTAGCCACATTGAAATGTATTGCGTGCTTGTGCCCAATGTACCCTGTATCAATGAAGAGGACCAGTTACTATTTACCCCCTGCCCTGTTGTTGTGTCATCCACAAACTTGCTTGGCGGTGATTGTTTTTTCTCTGGCTCGTTGACAAAACGATTAAATAGTGCAGGGCCGAGATCTGAGCTCATTAGAAACATACCTGCTGTGGATGATGAGTCCCTATGTACAGTTACTTTCTGAGATCTATCAGTTAGCCAGCTTTTGATCTGTTTAACATGCACCCTGTACATTTTACATCAGTCTAGTTTTTTAATCAGTGTGTCACAAGTCAGAACGCTATACAGAAGTCTAAATATCAGCACTGTTGCCTTTATTAACCAAACTTGTAATCTCGTCAAAACCAGTTAATTTGATGGGATTTTTTTCTGTAAATCCATATTGATTGGCATTAATTATAATCACTTCTAGTCAAGTCCTTTAATTCTTTATTAATCAGGTCCTTTATGCCCTGCTCCATTACGTTGCTCAAGATCGATGTCAGGCTGACAGGCCCATAATTACCCAAGTCAGCCCGTTTACCTTTTTTACATATTGGCACCTCATTAGATTTCTTCCAGTCTTCTGGAACTTTGCCAGTGTTCCAAGACGTGTTGAAAATCTACATTAGCTGTTTGGGGAGTGCCTCGGGCAGCTCTTTTAAAACTCTTAGATGTGAATTATCTGAACTGCTTATGTAACCCACACACCTAGGCTATGTCTACACTTGCGGCTTCTTGTGCAAGTAATATGCAAATGAGGCTGAGTGGAATATCGCCGAGCCTCATTTGCATACCTAATGAGCCATCATTTTTTTCGGAAGAGGCTCTTTTGCAAGGAGCATCTACACTGCCCCTTCTTGCACAAGAAAAACCCTCTTGTGCAATGCCGTTCTTCCTGAAAAGTAATAGGTGTAACGGCGTTGCGCAAGAGGGTTTTCTTGCGCAAGAAGGGGCAGTGTAGACTCTCCTTCTTGCGCAAGAGCCTCTTCTGAAAAAAATGGTGGCTCATTAGGTATGCAAATGAGGCTCGGCAATATTCCACGCTTAGCCTCATTTGCATATTACTCGCGCAAGAAGCCGCGAGTGTAGACAGAGCCCTAGTGTGGTTCACTGTCCCATGCAGTGGCACCTGGACCGCAGCAACAAGATAAGAACAAGAGACCTCTACAGCGTGGGCTGAGGGCCAGCTGGCTTTTAGCTCAAGCAGTAGAGGTTCCTACACTAAGCTCCAGAGGTCCCAGGTTCAAATGCGCCTGGTGGCGGTTACACTTATTTCAAAATGTCTGACTTCAGTAACATCTGTAACATCCTCTTTAGGGACTAGTGGGAGGGACAGAGTCTTGCTTTTGCAGTGTGAGAAACGCCTTTCCGTCTCCAGAGCCGCACTCGGAGCTGTGTCGGGGGTTGACCCGGGGCATCTTGCAGCGATAGAGAAAGGAGGGAATAAAGGGGAGCGACTGCTGCTTCCACCGTTTCGTTTCGGCTGAATCACGTTCTGTGTAACATTTCCCACCCACGGCTCTTCTCTTTTCCAGAGCTCTGCTTTGCAACGTGACAGTGTTTGCCAGAGCTTCTGGCAGAAAGGACACAAGCCATGGGCTTCTTAGCAAGCCTCCTTTCCAAGTAGCCCTTTGCATATGCTGAATTGGTTTCTTTGGACCTTGTCACTGCATCTTCTTCACTTACCAAAAAGGACTCTGAATTTAGCTTTCGGAAAGCCCTAATGATTTCATGTACCCAGCAGCCCTGACTTTCACCGTCTCTTTCAGAATTACAGAAGACTCGGCAGTGACGACGTTCGAAGCGCTAAAGGCTCGCGTCCGTGAGTTAGAAAGGCAGCTTTCCCGTGGAGACCGTTATAAATGTCTCATTTGCATGGTGAGTAGCACGCCGGTTGTGGCAATGAATCAGAGCATGTCTTGGTACCTTTGGCTTGTCTTGCTGAGGTGGGGAGAGGGTAAATCCTGTTTCTTTGGTAGCGTGAAGGCATCCCTGTCCTTACCCAAGAGAAAAACATCTCCTCCAATCTCTGGGTAAATATGCTGCCAATTTTTTTCCGTGTGTGTATCCGTTCTATGTGTGTGTGTTTGTTTAAAATATTTTTACCCTGCCTCTCTATTTAAAATATTTGAGGCGGCTTACAAAATTTTTAAAACACAATACATTTATATATAGATATATACAGGGCTTGACAAACGGCGGCAAAAGCCGCTCGCCAGCCTCGCACTGCACATGCACAAGAGCCGCATTGCGCATGCGCGCGCTGCCGGTAAACGGGGCGCGCGGCTCTAGTTTGTTGAGCCCTGGAGATAGATATAGATATATAAAATAAAAAAGTAAAATACAAGACTCCAAAGGGGAGAACATAAAACCTTCTATCACTTAATTGGTGTTTGTAGCTGCCTGTATTAGCAGAAATGTCTAACTTCATAGGACAGCATTCTGTAAAAGCGGCCAGACTGGGTCAGACCAAACACCCATTTAGCCCAGTGTCCTGTCTGCCCACAGCGCCAATGCCCGGGGCCCCAGAGGAAGGGAACAGAACAGGGAACCATCCAGGGAATCATCCAGTGAGCCCTCCCCTGTCGCCCGTTTCCAGCCTCTGACAAACAGAGGTTAGAGACACCATTCCTACCCATCCTGGCTAATAGCCATTGATGGACCTAACCTCCATGAATTTATCTAGCTTTTTTTTGAACCTTGTTTAAAGTACTTGTCTTCACCACATCCTCTAGCAAGGAGTTCCACAGGTTGACTGTGCGCTGCATGAAGAAAAACTTCCTTTTGCTTGTTTTAAACCTGCTACCTATTAATATCATTTCTTAACCCCTGGTTCTTATGTTATGGGAACAAGTCAATCACTTTTCCTTATTCACTTTCTCTACCCCAGTCGTGATTGACCATGCGCACGCCTAAATGCCTGGGCTCTTCTCTTCCTGTGCATGCAGAGTTGCACACATGGAAGGAGAGGAGAGCGCCTGATTTGAGATCCACCCGGTGGCTTGCAGGCATGAATTTTGCCTGTGCGTTTCAAAGTTGCCTGTGCCCTATTAGCTGTACATGTGGTGATGCTTTGGCTTCGCTAAAGAGAGGCTGCAGCTCCCTCTAATGGCTCAGAACCTGCAGCTTTTTGCCTCTCTCGTTTGGTTTTATCCCCGAGCTCCGTTTGTCCCATGCTTCAAGTGTTGCTGGGCTGGAGAAGCCAGTGACATGCGAGCTGGTGCAGGGAAGCATTTTGAAGTACTCCAGGCCGGCCCTAGGTCGGTCGGACAGACTTCCATCTCTGACTCGAGGCCAGGCCTGCGGTCCGACGTGGATTCCTGCCCTCTGCAATCAATCACTTGGAGCAACGAGAGGGTGACGGTGAAATGACCTCAGTGTTCTCAGCGGCTAGTTAAGCTTTTCCAGCAGGGTCAAAGTTAATCTTCCCCCTTATCTCTGCCCCTGCGCAATTTGACGACGGAAAGCGGCACCACCGCCCCACGATGAAAGGCCCATGGCACAGCCGCAGCCAGCCTGTGGCAGCTGTCTCTGACTCGCAGGGCTGTATCGTTTCAGTGTGGACGTACCTCTCTAGGTCATCAGGTTGCCCCCATGTGGGTTATGGGCAGGGTTCCCTCTAAATTTTTTGCCATCCGTGTGTAGAATAAATTTGTGTTCTGTGCACCAAAGGCACATGCAGATGTGCACCACCAACAGAAACACACTCTGCCGGCTGTAGGCGCGCTGCTCATGAGCTGGGCAGCACCTGACTCTCTCCTGGGCGGCCGCCCGAGCGCTCAGCTGACAGAACACTCGTTCTGGGCTTCTGTCAAGCAATGAAATAGCCTGTGGGAGACTGTCTCCCTCGGCTGCTCTCGAGCCCGAGTTTGAGCTCCCTGCTCGGTTGTCACTTGGGCCTGAAGTTGGCAGGAGTTTGCCTGAGTTCTGCCCGGCGCATGCTGCCTTGCTCGTAGGACTAGGAGCAACTCCTGAGCTGTGGTCTGAGTGAGGCGGGAAGAATGGGAGTGTTTGCACAGGTCCTGCTCTTCTCCTGCTCCCTCCCCACAGCCAGGCCCCGGGGGACATAAATGCAGCGGGGGCTCTGCCAGCCTTTGATGTGACGAGCGTCTTTGCTTTTTCTCTTCAGGACTCGTACACAATGCCCCTGACTTCCATTCAGTGCTGGCACGTGCACTGCGAGGAATGCTGGCTGCGGACTCTGGTGAGGCACTTGGCTACTTCCTCGTGGGTTCCTAGACTTCTCCCCCTCCCGATGCATGCCCGTACCTCAGGGGAGAAGGCTCGTCCTTGATAGGAAATGGGCGAGGTGGGGGTCTGCGTTGACGGGGTACCCACCACCCCAGCCTGCTCGGAGTCGTGGGGTGGAACTGAGTGGCCCTGCTAACGATTTACGAGCTGGCGGGAGGGTTCGGGCTAAGTTCCTGTCGCTTTCCAAAGGCATTCCGCCCACCGTGCGGCTGCAGAATTGGATCCTAGCGTAGACGCACGTAGCTGGGATCAGTTGCCCTGCGCCGCACGCAGCTTCTAGGAAACCCAAAGAAAAGCGTCTCTGTAAGAGAGACTGTAATAGATCACCTTTTTTCTTGATACGGTTTTCTTCTCCTTTTCGGTCTACCTGAAACAGCGTTCTGCCATGTTGAAATAGATTGGTTGGTTGCCTGGAAAATCAGTAAAATCGATAGCTCTCAATCCTTGGGATTTGCCACCTTGTTAGTTTCACAGGGACACTGTTGTGTTTGTTTAAAAGTGGGGTCCTTTTCTTTCCAAACCCTGACTTTGCTTGGCTTTTGGTTTGTTTTTTAAATCTGCTTTTATTTTCCGCTGACCCCAACTTTTCCATTTTGCTCGACGCGGACAGTGGGAATTTTAAGCGAGTCGCTTGAACACATTAGTGAGATGCTCCAGGGTCGCACATGGCATGCGGGGGATAGCACTCTTCGAAAAGCTGCTGCTGTTCAGTCCTGCAAAATCTTAGCTTTCCAGAATACACTGGAAATTTGGAGCTTCAGCTAACCAGGCGATGATCCTTTAGAGACTGTCATGCCTGCAGCAGTCGGTATTAATAGCGACCTTGGTAATTGGCCTCTCCCTGGGCTGTATTTTATGGCTCTTCACAACACCCAGTCCCTGCTCAGCTTACGCAGGCCTTTTTAGGCAGTTAGCTGCACATTGCAGACGCCGCGTAGCAGTAAGGTCTTTAGATGCATGTACGCGCCGTTGCCCTGGCTGAGCCTGGATATAATCGAATCCCTCCGTGCTGGCTGCAGTAGAGCGTTTCTATCCCACGCTGGATTTTACTTTCCCGTTCCCGTCGCCTGTCTTCTCCCCGCCGGCCTGGGATGGTCTCTTGAGTCCACTGCCCCTCTTGGGAGCCCTTCTAAGGCTTGGCCATGGCTTCTGTCCTGCGCGGAGAGACGTGTTCAGACGCAGTCTGGCCCCGCTCCACCCGCGGCTGTGGGGGGTAGATGGGGACCGGGTTAGCCATGTAGCCGCCACGCCCAGAGCATGGCTCTGAGCACGCAGGATGGCAGGGAACATTCCAGCAGGACGTAGGGCGAGGTGCTGGCACTTGTGTGGGGGAAGCAATTAATAAGCGGCCGCTCATCTGTTCCCCAGCCTTCCCCTCTCCCTGCAGCCGGCGGTTTATTAAACCAGGGCCTTTCCCAAGGCACGCTCAGACTCTCCCCCTTCGCCCGAGTCTCCCAGCCTGCGTTCTCGCGTTTCTAACGTAACCATTAAAATGTAGCCCGAAGACAGCAATAAAAACCCTGGAACGCCTTGGTGCTTTTGTGTCTTGATCAAAGTCAATGTGTGTAATCTCGTTAAGACTGCCCCCCCCCTTTTATTTTATGAATTTAATGGCGTACAGCAGCTGGGCCCAATGTTTAATACTCGCCAACCTGCACTGTTCTAATTAAGGTATCTCCTTTTATTTCGGGCACAAAAGAGACGTGTTTTCTTTAACAAGCAAGGAGCTGTTGGGTAGCGTGGAATAATTGCTGCTGTTACCTTTCCCTGGGTAGAGAGCCAGCTCCCCACGGGGGCGGCAAGGGAAGCGGCACACATGGAAAGATTGGGCGGGGGGGCGCGGGAAGAGGGGCGACATTTTTCTTCTGTTGTGCAATAAACAATTTGTTGGAGTTAATGGGCGTTGCGGGCGGGTGAGTTGTGCCGAGCTTCCGGCCGCCGCTGAGCAGGCTGGAGCTCGGCCATCCTGCGCCGGGAGCAGCCTCGTTTTTCCAGGCACAGCTGAGATGTCGGGTTAGGTTCGGTTTTCTGGTGCCCTCGCTCGAGGCCTGAGAGGCAAGGCGGGGGAGTAGGAGAGGGAGCTTCCCGCGTCACACAGGAGGGCGCGTGCTGCCCGTGCCGGTCTCCGTGGAGCAGGTGGGATGATACCAAATCCTGAATCCTTTCTAGAGCCGTGTCGCCCCAGGGCAGAGCACCCCCGGACGCCCTGGTGCCTCTCGACAGTGCTCAGGATCGGGCCCTGAGACCTTCGGCGAGAGGCATCCCGGGCTTCGTGCTGTGTGTGTCGGACTCCGGATCAGACCTGCAGAGTTGATCAGTGAAACCTGGGGGGTCATTTTTTTTTTCCCCAACAGCTGCTCCCCCAGGCTCGCTGAGCCCCATGTTCTGCAGTGGGCGCGTAGCTCGCCCTTCTGTGAACAAAGCCTGAGCCCAGCTCCCGAGGCCGGGTTCGCGTGCAGGGGTGAGCCGAGCCGGCGGATGGGATCGTATACCCGCAAGCCTGGCTGGTCACAAGGGCCCCTCCCGCTCGCTCACCAGAGCAGAGCTGTACTTCCCCGGGTGCATCCCGAATGTGCCAAACTCCAGCGTTTGATACGGGCCTCTTCGTGCAACTAAGGCCTCTCTGAGGGGTGGAGAATCCCTCTGGGCGGGCACAGTCCGAGCACTTTAAACACGCGACCATCTTAACGGCTCACTCCTCGGCCTGCGCAGAGCAAACCCGCCAGGGCCCGAGGGCAGCCTGTGGCACACGCCTGCGCTCTGTGTGGTTCTGAGGGTGTGGGTGATGGATGGTGGGGGGGACGCATGTATCCAAACCCAGGGACCAGCAGGGTCCTGCCTGCGTTTCCGGTAGGGACGTAAACGTTGGGGAAAATAGTTAACTGGTGAAGCGATAAAAATGGTGCCGTTTGCGCAGGCACAGGGCAGCTGGGGTCGGAAGTCTTACCGGGCGTGGTGGGGCGCAGCCGGGTCCTGCCAGGACTGCCGCAGCGCGACCAAGGTTCCGTGTGCCCACGGCGGGGCTGAATGCTTACCGGGTAACCAAGTACAGCTCTAGTTTCCAGCGCGATCAGTCTCCCCTGTACCTCTTCGTTTGCTTGCAGGCTGGTTTTTCAGACCCTGTTTGCGGGCAGGTTTTTGTGGGCGGGGCTCCTCAGCGCCACATGTGAACAGCAGCACCTCACACGTCCGGGAAGGAAGCGGTGTCCTTGTGCCCAGTTGACAGACAGGAAGACCACGGCACAAACCTTTCAGTGATGTTTCCCAAGGTTGTCCTGGAAACCTGGGCAGGGGGAGAGACCGAGAGTTGCTAGCTCTGTGGGCAAGCGGGGGAGCGCTGTGTTCCCAGAAGGAGTGGGGCTTCAGGCCGAAGGGGCGGGACTGGGACATGCAACCCCCACCCCTACTCCAGCCGTTGGCCCCACCCGGAGCTCTGGCGGCCCGTTTGAATTGCCGGGCCCCAGGGCAGTTGCCCCCACTCATAAGAACATAAGAACGGCCGTACTGGGTCAGACCAAAGGTCCTTCTAGCCCAGTAGCCTGTCTGCCGACAGTGGCCAGCACCAGGTGCCCCAGAGGGGGTGGACCGAAGACACGATCAAGCGATTTGTCTTCAGCCCTCTCTCTCCAGCCTCTGACAAAGAGAGGCCAAGGACACCATTTTATCCCCTGGCTAATAGCCTTTTATGGACCTAACCTCCATGAAATTATCTGGCTTCTCTTTACACTCTGTTATAGTCCTAGCCTGCACAGCCTCCTCTGGCAAGGAGTTCCACAGGTTGATTGCACGCTGTGTGAAGAACTTTTTTATTTGTTTTAAACCTGCTCCCCATTAATTTCATTTGGTGTCCTCTAGTTCTTCTATTTAGGGAACTAATAAATAACTTTTCTTTATCCGCCCTCTCCACACCACTCATGATTGTATAGACCTCTATCATATCCCCCCTCAGTCTCCTCTTTTCTAAGCTGAAAAGTCCCAGTCGTTTTAGCCTCTCCTCATATGGGACTCTCTCCCGCTCCTTCCCCCTCCTCAGCGGGCCTGGTGCAGGATCTTGCACATCCGCGCCTGAGAGGGTCCACGTAAATATTCGGATATTCTAAAGGCAGGTGGGAACTAGTGTGTGGCGCAGGCAAGAGAACATCCCGAAAGGATTCTTCAGCGTGATCTTTGAGAAACGCCTGCAATCGTGAGTTAAACGGACAATCCACCGGGACAGTCGAAAACGTTCCCACAGTTAATTACCCAGCCCCACAGGAGGCCCACCGCAGGCAGGGGCTGCTCCCGGCATAGAACCCCCGTCCTGTGCGTACGGCTGGTGATGCTTGTTCCCAGATGGATCCCTTTACAGCTAGCTGTATTAAAACACGCGCTATGTTTGGCACCCAGCTTACCAAGGGTTCCAGATTGCATGGACTCAGTCATCTCCTCTTCATCATCTACCACGCCCTTAATTTCACCATGGTTTTATGTTTGCCTCTGTGCCACTGATACAACTAGAGACAAAAGTCTAAATAAAACATTATTCCCTTTATCAACCAAACATGTCATCTCATCAAGAAAGAGATCAAGTTAATTTTCCAGGATCTGTTTTCCATAAGCTCATGTTGCTTTGCATTAATAATGTTGCTCTCCTTTTAGTTCTTTATTGAGTTGAGTATCAGCTGCTCCATTTTCTTGCCCAGGATTAATTCCTTGGGTCAGACTATTTTCCCTTTTTAAAAATCAGAACAACATTAGCTTTCTGAAATGTCCTGTGCGCTCCAACACTTACTGAAAATCATCATTAACAGTCTAGTGAGCCAGCTCCTCAGACAGCTCTTTCAAAACTCCTGGATGCAAGTTACTTGGGCCTGCTTCTCTTGAACACCTCCAAAGATACTAGTGGAGTGGAAAGAGCATTATTGTCACCATGAGATGAGAGAGCATCTATTTTTCCCAAAATATAAAGCAAATATTTCTTGAAGACTTTATTGGTAATTCTAATATTTCCATCTAATCCAGTCCCATTATAAGAATTATTTTTGTTCCTAATATATTTTTAAAATTAATTGTCCTTAATTCTACTGGCCACAGATTTCTCTTAGTGTCCCTTTGCTTCCCTTATCAATTTTCTACAACTTCTAACATCTGATTTGTATTCATTGCTATCCATTTCCTCTTTCTTTCTTTAATATTTTTATTTTATGTTGCTGCCTTATTCTCCCACCCTTTAATTATCCCTGCCTTCTTCCTCCGTTGTGAGATTGTGGCATTTCAGCATCTAATTAGATGTTCCTAAATGCTTTCCAGTTATCATTCATGTGAGTTACAGCTCCAAGACCACTGTCTGTGTCTTAGGACATGAGCTCTGTGCGAGATGTGGCTGCATGGTAGTAGCGGATGGGAGAGCCTTCTTCTCGGCTCTGTGCAGCCAGACCTAGCACCTCCTTGGCATACTCATTCATCATCTGGCTAGTAGTTCTTAGATTTGAATGGAAGTATAAATGGTGGCCATGGTGGGCATGTTCCCCGGTGACAGCCGCGTGTCCCTGAATGCAGGCCGGGTGCTACAGGCGGCTGGAACTCTCTCCTGCCTGTATCTGGCTCGTGCCACATCCTTCAGGGCCTTTTCCTGATGCTTCCGGGAGTAGCAGTTCTCTTATCGTCTGCCCACGCTGGGCATAGCCCCTGCCTTGTAAATGTCTTCTCAGCCACGCGTGTACCTCGACTGCAGGGGGGAACAAAGCAACTCATGCACAGTCGAATGGCAGGCTTTGAAATGGGACCTATAGCACGGGGGGGGTCATATTTTGTGTACGCACATCCATACGTAGGGGCGGAAGTAGGGTCTAGTTCAGAGGCTGGGGAATACGGGCTCTCTTCCCACCTCTGGCGCTGGCTCTCGGGTGTCTTCCTGCCATGTGTTCTGCCTCAGTTTCCCCATCTGTAAAATAGGCTTACTAAGCCCCCTCTGTAAGCGTGAAGCCCTGTTGGCCTTAATCTCCTCTGCGTCTGGATAGTGCCGCCTGTTTGGAGACCGATCGTGGTTCATGACTAACAGGGGCAGGAACTGCCTAAGACCTGGCCTGGTGTTTCTTGCCTGTAGCTGGTTGCAAACAACCGCTGTGTAATGCTTTTTTCAGAGGCAGCTGTAAGGCGACAGGCCCCCGTCCTTCCTGGCACCAAATAAGCCCGAACTGCTTCTCAGCACTGCCGCGCTCGTTAATGTATTCTTCAAACTACCCACCGTGATTAGCCCGGTTTGTGGATCAATCACTTGCCAAATTTCAATTAAGGCGGGAGGGGAAAAAATTAATCCGACCCTGGTCCCAGCCCCTTTTCTCCGCCTTGCTTCAGCCCGGAGCAAACTTCTTGCCTCGGAGTTTTATAAATCACTGAAAAGTGAGGTTTATAATGGAAAAGCTGAGATGGCCTTTACTGTAGCACACGCTGCTTGAACACATCAAGGCTTTTCCACGGAGCCAGGATGAAAGGAGCAGAAGGACCGGGGGGAGGGGGGAATGGCCGACAGGTGGGACTTGTTATTCCACACCATTTTTATTTTAAAGGAAAAGTTTAGTAACCCCAGCTGGCAGGTGAGTGGCGGGGGAACAAACCCTTTTTTGTTGTCCCTGTGCCAGGCATGTGTGCGTGTTTAATTGCCTGTGGTAATGAATACTGTACACCACCAAAAATGTGCTCAAATGCAAGGAAGGAGGTTGGGATTTGAGCACTTCAAAATGCCTCCCGAGTTGGAACGGGCGGTTCCGAAGGTAGCGCGTGTGCTGCTGTGTGCAGGGCCGTCCGCTTCGACAACAACAGTCACTGCTTTTTTCTGGTCTGTTGAACAC